TAGATTTTTGCATGTGAGAGAAAAAAATGTGACATCTGTCTTACTAAGCTTGGGCTGTTTGACTTGGCAGCACCTATGTGCTAAATGGTGAGAAGGAGAGGAAGAGAGGAAGGTGGATTGTGTTTTAGATGGAATTCCAGGTGAAAGGCCACGGTGCAGGACGTACAGATTTTTCCTAATTACAGGTTCACAGATTTAATCAGTGTTTCAAAGTCTGTAATATCTCGGACTTTACATCCTCAGTTGTTTCCCAGATAGTTAAAGCCTCTACTATGAGCAGATATTCAAGAGTGGGAGAAATTCAGAAATATTGTTCCAAGTGTTTCCTGGCAAGCCTTGCATCAGCAACCATGTAGGCGTCTTATTCAAAACACAGGTTCCTGACTTTGCTGAATTAAGTTGTCTGGACCTAGACTTTCCCAAATATTGGTGCCTAAAATCTTTATGAGGTAATTTAATATGATACAGAACACATATATGACTTATAATATTTATAAACAGCCTTCTCATAAATACATAATAGATATTATTTACTGGCACAATTATACTTGTGGACCTCCTCCCTGAATCTGTAAAACAGAACTAAAAGTGAAAGGTGTTGTTTTAAGGTGTGTGGTGTATTGAGACACTTGCAAATCCAGTATTTTCCAGGCAAACCCTAAGCACAGCCTCTGTCTGCTCCAGCACTCGGGCATCTGAAATTTACATCCAGTGCCCATCCATCATGCTTCCGTTTATCACGCTTCCTCTCCCACCACTTTCACAAGTTGGAGCATCAGAAGCAGAGATTGCTTCTTTACATGTTTTTTTTTTAACATTTTTTTTTTCTCTTGATGATATTTCCCCCTCTGGGTATTTTCAAATTGATTTGTTCAGTGAAACGACTTTCACTTCCAGATTTCTTGTCAGGCATTAAAGGCAAGCCAATCAGTCAGTTACTCCTGAGGTCGTGGTATTTCACGTTCCCAATCACCTTAATGTCCGAGGCTTCTCAGTGCACTCCCTCTTCCAGCAGCACTTCCATTCCAAAATACAGCTGTCAGACAGAAGGGAAGCATGGGTCCAAAATGATGGCATGGAAATGCAGATAGATCGTTAGGATAAAACTTTAATTGGCACTTTCTATGACATTTTAAAGACATTAAGTGTTTCAAGGCCATTAAGAAGATTGTTATTATTTAAAAAAAAAACCTTTTAAAAGAATAAAATTACCCACACGGTTGTTAACTGTAAGGCGTTTTCATTTGAACACTGAATAGCCCATAGTGGTGGTCTTAACACCTAAAATTTTGCAAATATTGTCTGTGGTAGAATTACTGCTAATGTGTGTTTTCTGAAGTTGTTCCTTAGGGTGGTAGAGCCGCTCCTTTAGTGTGTCACAGGGCCTTCCTCTATGTGTTCTTAATTCGCCTTACACAGGAAAGGAGGAACAGGCCTACCATTGCTGGGCACTCAGCCTGTTTTCTTTCCATCGAGTGACAGTGTTTTCTGTTCTTCATCTTTGGAGTCCTGCTCTGCAGAGGATGAGCCATCTACTCACTGAGCATGCAATACGGATGTGCTGTGCCTGGCTCCACATTCAAGAAAGCATCAAAAGATGAGGCCGCCAGTCTGCAGCTGCTTGCTTCCATTAGTTGCTCAAATATGGATCCCCCAATTCGTAACGATGGAGTGAGTTTTTACTAAACTTCCTTTAACTTGTGTTTTGAATGCTCCCGGAGTTGTGAAGACGGATGATAGGCTGCATATACTCACACTTCACTTTAATTTGAGCATATCAAACAGGTATTAGAAGTGAAACTAAACTAGACTCTTAGAGTTAAAAATGAACATTCATAAACTCTCATGTTTCTTTTGTGTGGGTTAAAAGGAGTGGAGTCTTTTAACTCCTTGAGTCTCAGACTGCCTGCTTTTCCATCTTCATGCCTCATTTCCTGGTAGTTGCACGAGACACACTTGGTTTGAGTAGCAGAAGGAAAAAAAAAAGAGGCTACAAATAGAGGGATCACCAAAAGAGAACCCCCAGGGTCCCAGACATTTGATCCTGCCAGTCACTTTAGCCCACGTGTTCTGAGATGAGGGGTCAACCATGTAACCATGAGCGAAGAAAATGAAACAAACAAACAAACAAACTAGCAGCGTTCCTTTGCTTGAGGCCACAGGGAGCCTTGTAATCTTGTGGAATCAGGATCAGCAGAGGAGTGAGGACAGAACGCCAGTGTTCGTGGGCTCAGCACTGCAGGGAGAGGTTAGGAAACGGAATTAATGAAAGGGGGTGCCTCCTTCCATTACTGAGCTTCCTTCAGGAATCCTCGGGAACCATAGCTAGACATGTCTTCCTTTGGCTCCAACCAGCTAGCCCTCAGAGTTGTCTAGCGTACAGCCTGAGTTGATGTTAGCAGGAACCTAGAATCCGTATTGCTTAGCATCCCGAGGGCAGTGATTACACACAGGCAGCATCACACGTGGCAGCACAAACATTTTTTTTAAATACAGAATTTAACAATAAGAGCAATGATCACGTTTTAAAGAATTTGAAAAAAAAAAAAACCAACAATGGACTCAATTTAGTCTTACAAAATTAATCACAGAGAGAAGCCCTATAATAACTAATGCTGTATACAGGTGCACGCCTGACAGCTTACGAAGTCTCTTTTTCTATATCACATGTATATATCGTTATGGAAAAGAGGGTTCATAGAACAGAGATGAGAGGGCTGCAGATCAAAGACCTTCCGGGGTGATGCTGGGAATCAGGATGTAAAGAATGTCCTTAAAGTAGATTTTTAACTAATGGAAGCCCATGATTTTTGTGGTTATTGAGAGAATGAAGTCGATCTCAGGCAGAAGCCTTGAAGGTCTGATGCTTAACCAATGGAAGTATGACTGACGCGACAACGTCTGAGGAAAATCAGACAGTAACATCGCAATCACACACAGTTAGTTGTACAGCATTCTGTGGTCCCTATTTAAAAGCCAGCCTAGGGAATATAAAGTTTGGAAAGAATTCAGAAAAGAACTTAGAGATTATTAAAGACGAAAGGCATAAGGCTACCGTGAACAATTTAAGTGGAATTGTATAAATTCTTATTGTTTCAGAATTCATGATGAATCGTCCAACACAGCTGTGTGGAGGAAGGAAGATCTAATTCCAGCCGTTCAAACTGTACATATCTTCTAAAAGAAACGGCTAAACTTGGCTCTAAGCAGAAGTCCAGAGCTTGAGCAGGTGTTCTTTGGTTAATGCCTGACTTTTTGAAGCAAGAATAGAGGGAAAGGAAATGCATCAACCCACTCATACTAAGTAAGCAGTGAAGGAGTTGGTTTACAAAGAGGTTGTCCCAGGGGATTGGAGAGCTGAACACTAGGGAGTTGTAAACATAGGCCAAGTACTCATCTCTCTAACAAACACAAGAACGGTTTCAGCCTGCAGCCTGTGGAGTTGCTAAAGGACAGCCGTGGGGCCTTTCCGATTCCACCTCTCTGAGTCTTGTAGGCTATAATGGTATTTGAAGATCAGGCCTCCTTGGCAAGGCAAGCCACAGCAATGTAGGCTGTTTCTGACCCATTACTTTCTAACCACATGGAAGAATAAATACAGGAGTGAGGGTTGGTCAGAATGTTCCCTCAACTGTAAGTGTTGGCACAGCCAAGACAGGCCACACCCTCGTCACCCAGTGTCAGTGGGCTGAAGCACAGAGAATCCATCAGCACTGAATTACAGCTCTGTAAGATGTTTGTCTGTCCTATTGTTTTATGGTGTATGTATGAGACGAGGAGATGGAGGGAGGGACGGAGGGAGCGATGGGAGGAGGGAGAGGGAGGGTAAATGAAACTAATTGGAAAGGAAACAGGTTTAAAATCAGGGGGAAGAGCCTTCATGTTTTCTTGAGGTCACACTCACCTCATACATTGATTCTAATGCTGGACCCTGAAATGTAGCCCCCTGGTTCTGAGAGCCTTGGGGTCTGGAGCATGCTCAGGTCTTTGCCTGTTGCTCACAGATAAGGTGTCTTCTTAGGCAGGAGCTCCACTTTAGTCTCCCTGGGCTGCTTAGTAATGGTGTTGTCTCCCCAGGGATGACAGGGAAGAGTTGACAGGCCCAAGGGCGGGCTTTGCTATCCCTCAGCCATCAGTTCGGCGGCGTGTGGTTGCTGACTGCGCTTTCACTTCAACACAGAAAGTGGTAAGTCTCCCCCCTCCCCCGCAAAAAAACCCTCCAAAACAAAACAAAACAAAACAAAACAAAACAAAGGGAAGTTTTTTCTTAAGGACGATGTTGAAGTATTTTTTCATGGTTTTTCCCCCCTTAAAAACAAGAATTTCATCCTAAAATACGGATAGAAGTAACTTGAGGATTGTGCCATGCAGCTAGAGTCTGAATTTGACAATAGCTTTCTCCACAGAAGTCTGTTTTATTCACCAAGTGGTCTCAGGTGCTCTGTTTGGGAGTGGAGGTGGGGCTGTCAAAGCCACAGTTGTCCCCTGTGACCAAAGCCATATGATACCTGGCCACCTACTGAGCAGAAAATTTACAGATATGGTGAAAATATGATTTGGTTCTTTTAAAGTAATTTTTCTCTCTCTCTCCCTTTCTCTCCTACAATTGTTGTTTTGTAAGTTGTTTTATTTTCTTTAGGGAAAGGACTTTTAGTCTCCCCACTGCTATGTGGTACCCTTCCCTAAAAGTCTTTCCATTGGTTGAGCTGGCTTGAAGGTCATAAACCTTAATCAATACATGGGCTGGTTGCTGCAAGGTGCTAATTGACACCCTCTAAGAGGAACAATGTCAACAATCAATAGAGAAGACAGAGCATAGGTAGATTTATGGCTTTGATTTTGAGAGGGTGCGGGAATGCCCAGTGACGCTCTCCCCTGCACTCCTTTTGAATGTTAATGTTTTCTTGAGGATGATTTAGACTCGCTGCGAGGACACTGCCTCTACTCACTGAAGCAGAATCCTCGGAAGAGTTGCTCAGGCAGAACTGAAATCATGACTTGCCTCAAAGAAGCAGCTCTATCGGCCCGCTAATGATGCCTCACACAGAGAGCCGATGCTCCTTTAACTCCAGGCTTTAATGCGAAGTTTCTGAGCCTGAGACAACAGCTTTAGAGCTGGGGTGTGCCATCAGCTGCTCGCAGCTAGCTCCCTGTCTACCGCTTGAACTCAGGCTGGCCGGCTTGCAGAATGGAAACTAGACAGGCTTCTACCTACCTGTAACCGTGTTCCACCAGGAGATGGATCAAGCATTTGCTTAGCCACATCCAGGTACTTGAGCATAACTGTGTCTTTGAGCTAATTAGATGCTTTTTCCTGTAACTTTGTAATTTATGCATGAGCAACAATCACAGATACCTTTCGGGTCTAAGTTCTGGATTTAAATTTGACTGTTAAAAGTCTAATTAATCAGTAGCAAGAGAAAGTTAGTCCAAGAGGGTAAAATGTAACAGTGACTTTCTGATAAGAGCACGTTTAAGTTTATCGTGGTTCTGATACTGCATTTAAAAAGGTAGGAAAATAGGCTTTTTCCCCCTTTCTAAGCTGCAGTAAATTCTTCTTGAAAATTGTTTGCTCCTTGCAGTTTCCACCTTCATGTGAAACACCCGACCTTCTGAAAGTTAACAAGAATATTTTGATTTGTTTACAAGGGTTCACAAGTCAATAACCCCAGTCGGTGCTGGTGCCCCTGAGCGATGAGCAAGCACTAGGCAGCAGTAGCCTTTTGGGGTGTCTCCTATTCACTTCCTTTCTACTGCAAAACACAGGAAGAAAGAGACAGAAAACTGGGAGAAATATAAGGGCTTGTTATTTGAAGTTTACAGTTCCACCTTGCCAATGGTGCCTTCAGATTGCCCAATTGGTCTGGGTGCTGCATGGTAGCTCTCCAAGGTTTGTGGCTGGGTTGCAGCCTTGCCTTGCAGTCTCTTTAAAACTCTCTCAGCAGGTGTTAGGGGGAAGATGATATTGAGAAAGAACTATAGAAGAGACTGGGGCTCTGGCTAAAGAGCCATGTCCCCCGATGACCCAGAGGTGAGAACAGCAGTGACAGAATCCACTCCCAAACCCAAGCAGCCGTGCCTGCAGACTGATTCTGCAGAAATGAACAGAGAAGAAGCCCTCCAGCACGGCAGCAGGGAAGATACTCTGCAGAAACTGCCTGTTGACATTTGGAGCTGACCAGTTTTGCATGTCTTTAAAAATAAAAAAAATATTGCCTGTGAGGTTCCTGGTATCCTAGAGTACATTTTTTCAAGAGTATAAAATAGTATTTACTCTCAGCTGTCCTGTGAATTTTGAACCACTGGTGGGTATTTCATTGGAACAGGAGGGCTACATTTAGGAAAAATAAATATGATGCCATGTATTTATGTCAACCAAAAGTAAAGGTGGAATGGGGGAGTTAGAACATACGAAGTGCCCAGAAGTCTTAGGACATGTTTGCCTGGAGTTCTCAGCTGATAACCTGGGCCCTGAATTTTTTGAATTTATATGAAACATTTCGAGTCACTGTGTGTGTGGATGCTGTTTGCTGGGTAATATACAGGGTTTCTGGAAGATTCACAGGACTTGGCCTCTACAGTGACTGGATCGCAAGGACACTTTCACAGTCACAGGTCTTATTGCTTGAAGAGCCGTTAGTTGTTCGGTCTTCCTGAGTCAATGAGGAGACCCGAATAGAGGATCCACTCACAGTTGTAGGGGGTGATGGACAGTTGACTCACCTGGGAAGTTCATACGCCTGGAGTGGGTGAGCATGTCGGAAAGAGATGCATGGGAGAAACTTCAGCCCTGAGTGTAGGAGTGGGTCTGAGACTTTCTCTAGCATAAATAGTAAAAACTGAGTTTATGGAGCCTCAGTCCCCAGATATGTGTTACTTAAGTCCTTGCAAATCGTGGTCCTGTTTCAGTAGTCAATTCCAGGGCTATTGCAGAACACTGCAACCCTTTCGGTAAGTTTGGCTCTGCCAGACGCTGCAAACGCAGCCCTGCCTACCTAGCCAGCTCCCTTCCTGTTTGTCTAAACAGCTGTCTCCCTACCCTGCCAGATAAATATAAGTGGAGTACACAGGATCTCTTCATAGGACAAAGTGTCCTGTTGATGTAAACTGCACAAACCCTTGAGTGTTCTTGTTCAGTGAATGGGCTATGTTTACACCTAGTTTTAAAAAACACGCCAACTCACGAAATTAGGTTTCTGGCCTAGAAGTTTTAAAAATTAGGCATGGCAATTATGTGGTTTAGGGTTGCCTAAAACACAGATAGCATTGCTTCACTCTATCCAGAGGGGCATAAGGGCAAATGGATGTGACCTTCAACTCATCCCAACACTCGTGTTGGGGAAGCAGGGATGGTACTCTTTGGGTAAATGGACAGTTTATTCATAACTTTCTGTGCCTTTGTGTGCCATATCTACAGAACACAAACTGGAAATAAATCTCACTTTGCACAAAACCCTAAGAAACATTATTTCCCTGCTGCCTATTTATTGGACACCCAGAATGTGACAGGCAGAGCTGCCAATGGACTACAGCTGTCGTAGCCACCAGCCCCGCAGTGCCTTCCCGGAGGAATGCATTTGAGAACAAAGTGGGAGGCTCTAGAGTCAGAGGTCTGTGTGTATTGCCACAGAGCAAGGCAGCAAAGGCACTTGGCTGAGTGTCTGCTGGCACTCTAAAAATAAGATAGGAAATGTGTTGTGGCTCTAAGATGTACTTTGCTCAGAAAAACTATCCTTTCCTTTTTGTGAAATTGCATAATGAGATGGAGATTAGATAAAGTGTCCAGGGGCTTCCAGCGTGAGAAGGGTGCCTGTTGACAGTAATAGTCTCCATGTAAGACATGAGGATTCAGTCTGTTGTAAAGGGCTGAAATTCCTCTTCAAGAGGCAGATTATGTAAGGATGACCTCTCCACTAGTAGGGCAGTCGCTTTCGTCCGGCTGATTGTTTTATTATACTCTGGACCCCACCCATTAACAATGAAAGCCAAGAAAAACTGAAGAGCCGAATAGCCACCAGCTTGTCAAATGGCAGGATCTACGACTATTAACCTGTCACAGTGACTTGAACTGTCTGTGAGTCTTTGAAACAAGATCTGTTTTGAACGCAATGATCTCATATCTCAGCTCAACTGAATGACATGTGTTGTTTTATCCCTTCATTGACTCAGTTAGCTGGAACCTTGCATTTTGAATTCAGTTTTCTGGACTATAAAGGAGTCAGAATTTTTTTTTTTTTTAAATTTTATTTTTCTTTTTAGTTACATTTTGTTAACTCTGTGTCCCAGCTGTATCCCGCTCCCTCATTCCCTCCCCAACCCCACACTCCCTCCCTGGTCTCCTCCCTGCCCCTTTTCAAGTCCAAGTCCACTGATAGGGGAGGACCTCCTCCCCTTTCATCTGACCCTGTTTTATCAGGTATCTTCAGGGCTGGCTGCAAAGTCCTCCTCTGTGGCCTAACAGACTGCTCCTCCCCAGGGGGTGGGGGGGTGTCAAACAGCCTGCCCTTGAAATCCTGTTAGAAATAGTCCGTGTTCCCCTTACTTTGGAAAACTACTTGGTTACTGAGCTACCATGGGCCACATCCGAGCCGAAGTTCTAGGAGTCAGAAATTTGATCCGATCTATACTCCAACAGGCGATGACCCCTGATTAGCAAGGCATTCCTTTAGGAGCTTGTTGCTTACTATTGAAGGAGGCACACACCCTAGAGGCTTGCCCTGCAGGCAGAGGGGGAGGTAGCATCTTTGGTAAAGAAGAGCTGTGAGAGCTTAGCTGACAACCCTGAGAATAGAAAGAAAATACACAGGTGAAAAGAGGGAGTGGGGTGTGCACGGTGAACAGAACCTGGGGGTATGTGTTAAGGGTGTTCGAGGAGCTGTTCTAGGTGAGCTGACAAAATCAGAACATCGTCTCTGGGTGTCCTTTAGACTCCATCACCTGGGACTTTATTTTGACCAGTGTGCTGACCATGTTGCTAGAAGTCAAATGATATTTGATGCTTCTTCCATTTTAAATAGAAAAGTAAATTATTACCATAGGAGACTCCATTGCTATAGCAGTTACTTCTCTGTGGTCCAGGAAACATTAAAACATCCCAGCCCGAGGAGTCCATGGCCAGTGGACACCAGGGTACTAGAGTCTCTGGGAGAGGGAGGAGTTAGATTTGGGATAAACAGAATGCAGCGTATAAGAAGGATGGATGAACAAAGAGAAGGACAGGATGCGATTACTAAGATGAGAGAGAGAGAGAGAGAGAGAGAGAGAGAGAGAGAGAGAGAGAGGGAGAGAGCAGCAGTGAGAATGGACCCCATTCAGATGGGCCAGAGCCTACTGGAGTAATTCAGGGTACTTTCTACTTTGTCATTTTCAGAGATTGCGTGGGGCTTGACTTGTAAAAAGAGGTGTGTTATGTAATTTTTAATAGCATCTTTGAATTGAGTTTTGTGGCTTCAGTATTAAAATTAGACTTTATTTCCTCAGCAAACACAATCGGACCTAGCAGAGGGAGGACGCAGATTCTCTGCCTGGTGGGGAAAGCCCACCCGGCCTGACAATCTTGTGAGTAAGCATGTTCCTTTTTTATACTTAAAATAACTGCCATGTGCTGTTAGTAAGGCTGACGATGACCACGCCAGAACCTTCTGGAATGATTTGTCTTCTCAGATGTCTTTGTTCATTTTAAAAAAAAAATTGTTATTTCCGTTCATAAAAGGAAGATTTCATTATTTAGTTAAAAATACTACTGAACATTTTGTAAGAATAATTTTTTCTGAAACAGGAACGTGTTACTTTAAGACGTGCTTTTTAAATGTAGGTGTCTGAATATCTGTGCATTGTGGTTGTTAAGTGATAAAGTTTACTTCTTCATTCTCTGTATTTCGTCTGATTTTTTCCTTCAATGTAAACAAGCTGTCGAACATTTTAAATTCGTAAATTACCAATTAGTTGATTGCAGGTTCCAAATTAAGCAGCCTCTTTGAGAGATTTCAATCAATCAATTCTAAATGAATTTGTGAAGTACTTGGCATTTATTTGTTTCTGGGTCTCTCTGTCCCGGGATCCCTTAGTAGCCATCCCTTCTCCACCCACCATTCAGCCATTTATTCATGGCATCCACTGCAGCTCTCCCTCCTCTTTCATGTGCACCTTAATTCCACAGAGATCCTTGCCCCATCTTCCGCATTTCTTTGCTCCTTCATCCTGTCTCTTGCATCTTTTCCTGTCCCTAGTGGGGACACTTCTCATAGAAAAATTACTGCGCATAGAGTTAATGTGGCCTTTTCCTTGCTGAAATATTAACTTAGTAAGAAGATTTGGTTACTTGAACAAAATATGTTATTTTAGTAAGAATTCAGGCACTGTGGTATGCTGGAAGAAGAGTGGTTTACATTTCACAACATGCTATGCATTCAGGCGCGTTCTTTTTGAATAGGTACCAGTCTGTCTGTCTATCATCACCACCATTGTCTATCTATATGCAGGCTTCACAATGAAGGTGTCAGGCTTTACATAAGAATTAACCAGATTTTTCCTCTTACTTTTTCCTTCCTTCCTTCCTTCCTTCCTTCCTTCCTTCCTTCCTTCCTTCCTTCCTTCCTTC